ACATCGTGAGCGCTGCGGAAGGTGAAGGTGAATTCGGGGACCCCAGCATCTGCCCTGGAGCCCCCCGCTCCTGTTGGAGGAAAGAGGCTCAGAATTAAGTGAAGCCGTAGGTGGGAACCCCCTAAAGGGCAGGGAGCCCTGGGGGGTGCAGACCCACACTGGGCCTTCAGACAGGGCTGTACCCAGAGCTGCACTGAACCCCCACGGCCCTGCTCCCCCACCCACCTGCCCCCAGGAGTCCGTCCTTGCCGTAACGGTCGTAGACATCACGCTTCTGCTCTGGAAGAAGAAAAGGGGCTGTGGAGAAGGCAGCGGCCAGGCTTGGGCAGGAGCACCGATGCTCCCCCCGGCCAAGGGAGGTACAGAACAGCCAGGAGAAGCAGAGGGGGGTGGCATGAGCGCCCGCCGTGCCAGCACTGCTCCCAAACCCAAGCTGGGGCATCAGGCAAGGACGCACAGCTCAGCCCCCCCAGGGAGACCTCATCCTGGAGGCCAGCACACCAGCATCTCTCCCAAGAGATGTTTAGGGGGATGCTGGGGAGGTAACCAAGACCCAAAAGCTGGGCAGCAAAGTTGGAGGGACCCGCTGCTTCCCGGGGACTTCCAGGGATGACACTAGGGTGAGCCCAGCAGCAGGACACTCCAGGGCAAGCAGCCCCCAAGGGCAGGGGGGACACACGAGACAGCACCCTGGCTTCTTACTGTCCGACAGCACTTCGTAGGCCTCAGCGATCTCCTTGAACCTCTGCTCGGCGTACTCCTTGTTGTCTGGGTTTTTATCCGGGTGCCACTTCAGCGCAGCCTTCCTGTACCTGCAGGCAGGCAGCAGTGGGTGTGCAGCAGCCCTCGGGCGATGGGGCTCCCCGGACAGCAGCCCCTCTCTGAACACACACCCCTGACCCTGTGGGCAGGGGCACCCCCAGCCTGCTTCACCCAGCACCCTACGGATTCAGCCATCAAACAAGAGCTTCCTGGACTCGTTCTGCTTCCCGAGCAAATATCTGGGACATGACTAGTGCGGCCTGTGCCCACCTCAGCTGCCCTCGGCAGTGGCTCTGGATGATGCTCACAGCTTTGCTCCAGAGCCTTCCTGGGCTCCACCATGGGTGTGCATGG